CTCGCCTGTCTCCCATTCTCATCCTCCTCAGCCCATGACTCCGACTCCTCTGATGTCTCCATGGGGATCCCTGGGGGAGGGAGGAGGGGTGTTTGCTGCAGAGGATAGCATGCAGCTCCTCGTAAAAGCGGCATGTCTGCGGCGCCGCGTCACAGTGACTGCTTGCCTCCCTCGCCTTCTGATACACCTGTCGCAACTCCTTGGCATTCATGAACAATGTGAGCATCAAAGCCTTGGGGTTGGGGTCAAGTAACAATGCTTCTCTCCGGCTGGTCTGTTTCAGATTAATAACCCACATCCTGTCCATGGGGGCAGTGGCAGAAAGTCCATTGGGCGGCTGCTCCGGGGCCTGCGTGGAATGTGCTGGGATCTCAGCCTGGTTCCCGGGGTTTAGGCGTCTCCATCACACACCAAGGTAACCCACAAAGTCTGCACTGGTCATCCCCCTCCATGTGAGGCTCAGCAGAGAGGCCAGGAGTTCAATGGACCGTGCAGATGGAGCTTCTCTCTCCCCTTTAGAGAGATTCATCCCAGGTCAGGGCAGAGGATCAGTGGCCCAGGACAGCGTGTGAGGGGAGCTGGCACTGGGGTCCCCTGCCCTGTTCAGGGTAAAGGGTTACACAGAGTCTCCAAGGCCCCTTGTCTATCCTGGCTGCAGGAGGGTGATCTGGGCAGACTGAGGGAGAAGCGGCTGCCTGGGACCAGAACAGGGAATGTAACTGTGGTGGGAAAAGCACAGAGACTGGAGCTCTGCTGTGGATGTGGCTGGTTACAAGGCTGGCTCTGCAGCAGGATACGATGTTCCAATGCGACGTCATATGTCATTTCCCTTCCTCGCCACCAGGAATCAAGGCCACATGAAGATCAGCCAAAATTCGTCTCGCCAAGCACAACTCTGCAGCATCCTCCTTTCTGATGCACCTCACAGCGTCCGCCCCCACGGGGGGCAATTGTGGATCCCCGGCCAGAGCCCCGTACTAGACAAACTTATTTATTGAACTCCAAGCAAGCCAAAGGTAGGTTGGCTCTACCCTAGAGGAGCCCAGATAGTTTAGATGGGGAAAACGAGGCACAGTATGTGGCATGTACCAAGCCTGCCCAATCTCATCAGATGCCCCGATCTCACCTGATTCTCCTTTTGTCAGCGGTGTGTGTGCACCATGCACGGAGCATGCCAGCTCCCACCCCAGCCCCCACACTGTTGTGTACTAGACATGTTTGCATCTCCCCTGCCCCAGTCAGTGTTACCTCTGTGTCATGCACCAGCTGTGTGCACACTCAGCTGGCCTGCTGTCAGCTCTCCCAGCCCGCTCGCAGTGCTGTGTGCCTGTGACACGCACAGAGCCGACCTCCTCTTCTCAGCTACCTCCTCTGCCCCCAGTCTCAGGGCTGTGCTTGCTCCATGCACTGAACCTGCCTGGTCTCAGCTGTCAAGCCAGTCTCAGGGCTAGGTGTCTAGGCCATGCTTCAAGCTTGAATCAACTCATCCTTATATCAGTGTTGTGTGGCTCAGCCATGCACCAAGCCTAACATTCTAGCAGGTGTGGCTAATTGATCGAGTAGGTTCATTTCAAAAGGCCGAGGGGTTCAGTGATTGAGAAATACACAGACATATTAACAGGGATCAGTCGCAGCAGAACAGGTTAATTTGTGTTTTTCTGCCTCCCAGCCCAGGGCAGTCTCCAGGGAGCATTGGGTGAGTCTCCCTCAACCAGCCATGGACAGGATTCTGCTGGTATTCCATACCTAGCTCACAGCGTTTTAAAAACAGCTTGTGTTGGGAGGGGCTGTATTTCAAACCCCGTGACCAAATGACTCCAGCTTTGTACCCCTGACCCTACCCTGTGCCCTCGGGTGGCGTATCAGCTTTCTAGCCAATCAGACTGTGAATGTGAATTTAAAGGAAAAGGGATCATTTGGTTTGGGAAAGAAATGCTGCCGCAACACAATGGTGCAGCGAGGTGCCAGCCCATAGTACTGCAGGTGATGATGAGAGCTGGCTGCCTTATTGCAAATTTCTCTCTCTTCCCTGGCAGCTGGAGGTTGCCAACAGATTTCTTTCAGGAGGAGGATAGTGTTGCCCGGGAAAGCATGACTTGATGCTTTGATTTTATTTACTCATTCCTCGAGTTTCGCCTTTAGAGCTTTTGCTTAGAGTTACCCAGCTCCTTTTCTTCAAGCCCCTTCAAGGCATTTGCTTGTGGGTCTGTCTAGCCTTTCAGGGCAGAGCCGTACAGATCTAATACCCTTGGGACAAAGTCCAAGGCCAGAAGATAGAAATAAACTTTATTCTGGGAATTTACTCAGCTGAATCGACAGTATCCAAATAACCAAACAGAGCAAAATAGGAGCATTGAGCTAGGGAATTGGGGGGTGGGTGTGTGGAACATCACTGTGCTTGTTACATTCATAAGTAAAGAGCAGAGGACTTTGATGGATGACCCTAATTGAGTCAGAACTTAGGCCAGGTCCACACTGTAAACTTACTTTGGTGTAACATATCACTCAGAGGTGTGAAAAATCCACACCCCTCACTGAACGCAGTCGTACCAACTGAACTCCTGGTGTAGACAGCTACCGCCTCTTAAAGAGGTGGATTAACTACACTGATGGGAGAAGCTCTCCCGTCAGCATAGTAGTGTCTTCACTTAAGTGCTACAGCAGTGCAGCTGCCCCGCTGCCCTAGGACAGCCAGGCTCTGCGGAGACCCTGGGAGTGGCTCCTGAGTGTCTGCTGGTTGGCCAGTTCGTGTGAGTCTGGAGGATCACAGAGTTACAGAGACAGGCATGTAAGAGGGTTAAGAAACTCCATTCACCAGCATAATGCTGAGCAAGTCAGTCTTGTTCTCCCTCACCATTCTATTGCGAGTCTCGCAGCACTTGGTGTTTTTCTTTAAATCCCAGCTGTTGGAGGGGATAGATTGCAAGGGAAGCTCAGGTTATATTACAGATCGTTTCTAGCCTTCACATTTGCATAGAAAAGCTTGAAAACGGGAAGCAAAGTACATCTAGAAAGCAGAAGGCAGACAAAAATAGCTCAAGATTTTTTAAGTCAATCTCCTGATTTTGGGGGCCTGACACAGTTTTTGAATGCTTGGGGCTGGCAAGTCTGTGATTAGAATGGCAATGTATGACAGCTGTAATTTATATATTTCCCATCTCTTTGCTCTACCTTAGCTATCTCATATTGAGTGATTCCTCTGCCGCAGGTCTTAATGGTATGCATTCCAGGGATCACTACTGCCTAGATTTGGATATTCTACACGCTGGCTCCCAAAGAAGGGGATGATCTTCCCAGTGAAAGAGGATGTGAAAGTAAAGATTGTCTCTCTGCCAGAAGATGTAATGTCATAAAATGTAACTTTCTCCCCTTCATAATCCAGATAAACCCCAATGCTACTGGGGCTACGAGGTAGGTCCAGAGCAGTCTTAGGGGAGGTGAGGGCCAAGTACTCATTCCCTGTACTCTGCAAAGCCCAGATCCCCTTTTCTGGAGTACGGCTTCTCGTTCCCTTTTGTATCACAGACTCTTTGGCAATGCCCAAAACCCAAAGATGTTTGTTCCCGACCTCCACTTCCCAGTAACATCTCCCTGAGGTGAAGCCCTTATAGCCCAGCACACAGGCAGCAGGGTGAAACCTGTGCTCCAAAATTTCCGTATGTTTGTAAATCACGCTCTCTTCTCTGGACAGAAGGGAACAAGGATTTGCCAGGTCTGGATCTGGAGTGGCCTGCACTGCAAGAGGAGAAAAAGAGAGACAGGAGGAGAGAGTGTTAAGGTCTGTCCACACTGCAGCGCTAACCCAGGCTCTTACACGTCTGCTAACCCTGATGCCCTTCCTGTCCAGATACAACACCGCCTCTCCCGAGTTCAGGGGTGCTTTCCAGCCAGCCTACGCACTGACTCTGTGGGTGCTCCGGGGCTGGAGAATGGAGTGGGCTGCGTTGCTGGAGTCACACCAGGTTCTCTGGCACAATGGGAATTAGACTTCTCGGTGGCACTAAATGTCTGCACCAGTTGGATGTGTAAAGTCCATCCAATGCAGGACAGTGATTTGGGGAAGGGAACATGGTCTAGAGGTTAGAAGCCAGGGCTCTATTCCTCGCTCTGCTACTGACTTGCAGTGTCACTTCAGGCACATCCCTTACTCTTTCCATGCTCCAGCTTCCCTTTTTGTCAAATGGGCATAAAAGATGCCGGGCATTCAGATGCTATTGCTGGGCGACAGTACAAGGACATAGATAAGTAGCTATGGGAGCAGACGAGAATCCCTTCCCCAGCCTCCAGCAGTGCTCATGGGAAAAGGAGGGGGAAACATGACACAGTTGCAAGCATGGTGCTTGAATGAAACCCTCTTGTACCCCAGGGAGCATGTCTGACCCCCACGGAGAGACAATGCTTCTTGAACTGATGGACCTATCCTCCATTAATTTATCCATCAATGGCTATTAGTATCCTGTCTTCCGACAGTGGCCAATGCCAGGTGCCCCAGAGGAAATGAACAGAACAGGTGATCATCCATTGATCCAGCCCCTGTCCCCCATTCCCAGCTTCTGGCAAACAGAGGCTAGGGACACCATCCCTGCCCATCCTGGCTAATAGGAATGGATCACTTGATTATCTGTTCATTCCCTCTGGGGCCAGGGCCGGCTCCAGGCACCAGCTTGTCAAGCAGGTGCTTGGGGCGGCAGCTCCGGAGAGGGGCAGCATGTCCAGGTATTCGGCGGCAATTCGGCGGACGGTCCCTGGAGCCGGCCCTGTCTGGGGCGCCTGGCATTGACCACTGTCGGAAGACAGGATACTGGACTAGATGGACCTTTGGTCTGACCCAGTATGGCATTCTTATGTTGTTATGATATATGATCCCTTCTAGCCTTGGAGTCCATGACTCTGTATTGGTGAACACCTCTCTCGTTTCAATTCAGAAGCTTCTTCTAAAAAATTAATCCTGAGATTTTAATTAATAATTGTCGTAGGAAAATATCCTCATGAAAACGTACCCTCTTTCTCTGCCTTCGAGATCAGAAAGCTCAGTTGATACGGCAGGGTCTCTAGAGAAAGAAAAGATCAGAGGAGAGGTGATTTCCCCCTTTCTGATAGGAAAATAGCCTCAGGAAAACTTAGGGCTGGATGGAGTCACAAAGAAACTGAGGCGAGATGACACTCCGCATCTCAACCCCCGATCTTTAGGCACCTGGACAGTCACTGTGATTCACAAGGCCTGAATCAGGCTCCCTGTACCATGAACGGGGAGAGAGATGTGCCTTGGAATGGGATTAACAAAAACCAGCATGCTAGGTGACTCCCTGCTTACACCAGACGGTGGGAAGTACCACAGTGAGGGGTTGTGCTAGGCCCCGGCCCTCTCAGGGTGTTCGGCGACTGAAGCTGGGTAACACCGTAGGTGCCTCCCTTTGCATGGGTGCCCTCATGCTCTCCTGTGGGAGATGTTCCACTGGGGATAATCAATATTCATTGGGCGAGAGTGAGAGAGAGAGAATTCATGAGAATGTCTCTGTAGCCAAGTGGCTAGAGCATCCATCTGGGAGGTGGGAGACCCAGAAGCCTGTCCCCCTGCTCAATTATCTATACGCAGTGGATTAGATTCAATAGGGGAGACAGAGAAAGACCCACATCAGACCCCTGTTGGAAT